TTTTACTCAAAATAAATATATATAATTTTATTTCTTTTCAGAATACGTGTACGATATTCATTGCAATTCATTTGAATATGTATTGTATTAAATTGCATGCACTGCCACGTTTGCAGACTTAATATTATTTATCAATTATTCATTGAATTATGGCTTTACGTCGAGGAAAAAGAAATTTGAAATTGCAGGTTTCTGAAGAGACACCTGTACCTGTGTATGTATTATTTTTATACTGTTGAATTATTGACAATGCATATTGTATTTTTGTTTATGTAATAATATAATTAAGTATTATATTTGAATTGAAATATACAGAAGAAGCATTACATACCTAAATAAAAGATATACAGTAATTTGTAAATAAATAATGTACCATAGTTGTGCAATTATTTCACTTTCTAATAAATTGATATTTTTATAATATTGGTAACTACTTTTATTCATTACAGCACTCCACCGAGAAATCTGGATAAAAGAACTACAATAACTATTGGTGATAAAACATTTGTGGTAGAAGCAGATGATTTGGAAACTATCTGTATTCTTGGACGTGGAGCATATGGTATTGTAGATAAAGTACGACATAAACAAAGTGGTACTATTATGGCGGTTAAGGTATAATGTGTAATTATATAGATATAATGTTAACGTATTTTTCATGTATTTGTGACTCTGTTATTCTACTTATTTTGTAGAGAATAACTGCAACGGTTAATACACAGGAACAAAAACGATTACTTATGGATTTAGATATTTCCATGCGTAGTTCAGCATGTCAGTATACAGTACAATTTTATGGAGCATTATTTAGAGAAGGAGATGTTTGGATATGTATGGAAGTGATGGATATGAGCTTGGATAAATTTTATACAAAAGTGTACAAGCATGGACGTGCCATTCCTGAAGATATTTTAGGAAAAATTGCTTTTGCAGTAAGGAAAGACCTATAATAGAAATGTCATGTTTCATTGCAATGTCACTTGCAATTTTAATTTTGAAAATGTTTACAGGTAGTAAGTGCATTACATTACCTATATTCACAGTTGCGAGTGATTCACAGGGATGTAAAACCTAGTAATATTTTAATTAACCGAAAAGGAGAGGTAAAAATCTGTGACTTTGGTATTTCTGGTTACCTTGTAGACTCTATTGCCAAAACTATCGATGCTGGTTGTAAACCATATATGGCTGTATGTAACTTTTTAACAAAAATTATAATTTGTGCTTTTGTCTATTCAATAAATTCTCCACCATAACCTTTTTTCAGCCAGAAAGGATAGACCCGTCGGGTAACCCTTCACAATATGACATCAGATCTGATGTTTGGTCATTAGGTATATCTCTTGTTGAACTTGCAACAGGAAAGTTTCCTTATGAATCTTGGGGTACACCTTTTGAGCAATTGAAACAAGTTGTAAAGGATGAAGCACCAAAGTTACCTACTGATAAATTTTCTGCCAGTTTTGAAGAATTTATCAATAAATGGTAAATGTAACCATTTTTAACAGTATCCCACATTTATTATATATAGTTTAACTAGTAATTGTTTTTTCAGTTTAATGAAAGATTATACTGCTCGTCCAAATTACAGTCAACTATTGAAACTTAATTTTATCACAGAGCATGCCAAGAAGAACACAAATGTTGCTGAATTTGTTGGAGAAATTTTAGATCTACCTGAAGTTGAACAACCAGCATAGTGTACAAACATATTTTGACATGGTGTGTTACATGACCCTTAATGTAACTTCGTATTCTGTATCGAAGTTTTTTAATCAGTTCTCTATATCTATCTTCATATGTCGTATTATTCACTCATAAATGCGACAAAAGTAATTGAAGCTTAGTGTAAAACAGAATATGTATAACTTTTGTCTAAAAAATAATTTCATCAAAAGTTCAGATTTTGTTTGTTCAATATGAAACCTGTGTACAATTTTCATTAATAGTCCTGTTGGATTAGTAGATACTCTTTACAAAAAAAAGAGTAAAATCGTGTAAATAATATAAGAATATTTTCTATATGGAATAACAGTTGTTTGTCGTTGTAACATAATAATAAATAAAGTCCAAATTAGAAAGATGTACTCAACTTATATAGAAGTATTTCTATATAACAAGTTTCATACAATCTAATTGTTATAATAATAATGATATTTTAAAATAG